TATATATTGGCAGCCGGGCCGGCGGGGCTCGGGGCAGCACGGAGCCGCCGGGGCCGAGGTTACGACCGGGACCGGGACCGGGACCGGGGCCGGGACCGGGGCCGTGCTCGCGGCCCGCCGCAGGCAGAGCGGGGGCTCCGGTGGGCTGCGCGTAAGCGTTTATGTTTTTATTTCTGGAGCGCTGTGTCCCTGCGGGACGGGCGCCTCTCACCCGGAGTGGGGAAGGCTGTGGAGAACTCGTTGTCTTTTCACGCAGGGGGCGCGGGGGAAGCTCTCCGCAGCTTCGTTCCTTCAGCCCGTGCTGTGGAGAGAGGGAGGTAAGGTCCTGCCTGTGCTACACGGGGTGTCCTGCAAGCAGGGATGGGGTCGGTGGGTGAGGCGGGCCTGGAGCCGTCCGGCAGCGCTGCCGTGAGCTCGGGGCTCGGCAAGTGCCTTTTCCAGGTCGCTGACACTGAGCTGAGGTTCAGGCTCTCCTTTTTCCCCTGTCTAGCCTTGTGTTGTTAGAGTAAATCTCCAGGGCTTTGCTGAAAAGCTCAGAGTCCTGGAATCTGGCAGAGTTGGCGGATGACTTCACAGGTGATTGTCTGCAAAGAAATGCTTTTGGGTGTGACACACCTTGACCTGTTTTTGCAAGGGACTAACTAACTACTTTTTTTCTTTTTCCCCTTTAAAGTTTAGGGGGGAATGATACTAAAGCCTCATGCAGTACGTAACCCACTGCGTGATTGTGTGTTGCAGGGTCCATCTTCAGGGCCTGATGTGGAGTCCCTCCGCTCAGTAAAACGACATAGCCATGGTAATACAGGTTTGATTCTTTTGAAGTGTATTGATACTGCTTTTTAAGGAAATGGAGTTAATATCCAAAAGGTTCCTTCCCAAGGCTGCAGGACATAAACTGACCTGCCCAAATTCACTTTGTGTGCAAGTCTGCACCTGATTCTGATTTTTAGCTTTTCTTGTTCTTGGCTACAGGCTGTAAAATTTTGCACACATCCTATAAAGCCTCAAATCTCATTGCTTGTGGGTGAATGAAAATGCTGCACAAACATGGATTTCCCAGTACTTTTGAAGAGTGTTCAGATGTCATGCTGGGCTGTAGTTTAAAAACTCACAAGAGATCAGGGTAGGAAGTCTGATCTGTGCGAGTCCTGCCTCTACGCGCCGAAAAAGAACTGTGCTCTGTTCAAGCATCACATGTCCTTTGGTTGCCTGATAAATCCGTAAGAAATCCCGGGGTCGTCAGCTGGTGCGCCAGGCATTGGCTTTGGCGCTGCCGTATGTGCGTGTACACGCACAAGGTGTTACTTCTGACAGCATTTGCGATGCTGTAGCTTGTTAGCTTCCCACGCTTTGGGAACCCCTGCTCTAGGCTGTGCTCGAATGTGTGAGCTGACTGCAGACGCAGCTTACCAATGCCACGTTTCATGAGAGACAGGAAACAGAAGACAAGACAGTTGATGACAATGACTGAGAACATTTAAAGCCTGGAGGTCAGAGGTATCCGCTGCAGAGGGACAGCAGGAGCAGTGAGGCAGCTCTAGACGAAAGGCATTCCCTGGTTCTCACTGCAGACTTAGACAACAGTTTGTTCTTACCTGTAAACACCTTTTTTTATTTTGAAAGATCAGCTACAGGCCAAATTCTGACTGGGAACCTAATTGTGTTCACAAAATCCACCAGTGGTCCTGCTGGGAGTGTGTAAACAGGGAGTGTGATTCAGGTGACTGGCTGAAAAATCTGACATAAGCATCTACTCTGAAGTGTGCACATTCCAGCACATGAAGTATTCAACAAATTCTGTCCAATTAAGGTCTCCAAAAAAGGCTTGTTGCCTTCTCTAATATATGCCTGGGTTCAAGTAGTTTGCAGTCTGCATGACTGAAGGTTTAGGAAACAGTCTGCCATCAGCTGCAGCTTGCACTCTGTATTTTTCTGTCTGTCTTTTTTTTCCTTCTGTGGCTGGTGGTTCTGTGTGTTTTATATAGAACTCTGGACTTTTTTTTCTTTCTTTCTTTCCCTCTGCATATTTCTTCACATTGTGGTCTCGGCTGATTCTGTGGACTCGATGATCTTAGAGGTCTTTTCCAACCTTAATGATTCTATGAAGATTGTGCCCCTGACAGTGTTCTCAAACCTCAGAGCACAAACGTTTGTCTCTTTTGCACTTAACGGTACTGAGCTGTAAAGGGACTCTTTAGAATTGATACCATGAAAAATACGCTACGTATACTGCCTTCCCCTAGTTTATGCCCAACTGATACACGTGCCCTTTCTGGCTGTATCTGTGCTAATTCTTTCTAATGAAGTGCTTAGAGCCGTTTAATTATAGTGCGCAAAACCAAGCAAATAACAGAAATAGATGGGCAGATGCATAAAGTGACTCAGCGTGTACTGAAAGTGCTCTTGGCTTCGGACCAGAGATCAAATACTTTCAGTTACTCATGATGTGTAAATACTCCTGTTCAGCCTTTTCTGGGACTAGCCATCACTCCATCCTCGACGTTCCTGGGACACTGCCCACCTTCTGGCTCCCTGTTGCCATCACCGTTTTCCTGCCTACACAGCAGCAATGAGAGATCTCTCCGGGACCCTGATCCGGTTTCTGTTGCTCAATACCTGGAGGCAGCATCTTCCACGCAAGCATGCTCCAGGCTTATTGAGAGGAGCGGCCAGGATGGGTGAGAAAAACAATCTGGGGAGTGAATCAGACTGGCATATCCCTCTCGGAGGCAAGAGGCTGGGTGTTCAGGCACCAGTGCTAATCAGCTGGAGTTAACAGGAGTATTTTTTGGCCCGCTCTAGAGCTTGAGTGAGTCTTGGCAACACCTCCTTCTTACATACAGAATGGCAGAGCTGCTGCGTAGATTTGTGTTACAGCTAATGGTAGAGGAACAACTGTATCGCAGAGCCTTGAAAAGGCCACAGCTGTAGAAGGGAGACCTGCCTTTCTGGTTTATGATCCAGAGTCACAAGTAGACATGCAGTAGCGGATGAACACACAACATGGGCTTAGTTTACTTTAGGATTGTGTTGTAATGCATTAATTAAAAAAATGAGTTGGAAAGAATGTATGATTTCCATTGTGCACAAACCTCTTTTTTAGCCAGAGAGAAGCGCAGGGGAACACTAATTAGCCCTGCCTGATGACTTTAAGGATTCTTACAGCCTATAGAGCAAATACGGATTTGGTGAAAGTGTATTAACGCTTGTGAGTCCGTATATAAAATCACCACAAAGTACAGGAGTCTGTGGTGAGGGGCTCTTGAGCTAATGCTGCGAGCCAGGACAACGATGCAATGAAACAGCTGTTCCGGGATGTCTTGGGATCCTCTACCCAGAAGCGACACCATAAAGTCACAGGACTAACCGAGTGTTTTTGTGGTCATTTTCTCTCTGCAGGCAGTTAAAAGTAGCAAACCCAAGCGTGGCAAAGGCAAAAGCTCCAAAAAGAAAGCAAAGAAGGTGGTGAAGGAAGTGGATATCCTCAGCCCAGCTGCCATGCTCAACGCCTACTACATCTGCCACAACGCCCCTGCCTGCCTGGAGTTCCGGGGCTTTCCCTGGCCTGGCTCCCCCAAAAAGAAAGGGAAGAAAGGAAAGTAACCGGGTGGCTGGAAAGCAAAGGACTCGGTGAAAACCAAGCTCCCCAGTGAAGAAGAGACTTTTTTGAGGATTAGACTCGTAGTGACCTCTCCAGTGGTTAGCTCAAATATTTTGCCATAATCACTGTTGTATCCGTACAAAGACACTCTTATTATAGCTCAAGCCTAGAGTGACAAATGGTAAGTGACACTGTGCCATTGTAATTTCAGCTGTGGCACTTCGCCCTCTGGTTCTGTGTGGAATAAAGCATTGCGCCTCAGCAGTCTGAAAGGTTTGTAGTGGCGTTTGCTTTACCCATACCGCTGCCGTTCTTTTACGGATGGAACGTGCTCCCCAATAGCGCTGGTGTACCTCCAGCTGGTTTAACCAGCGCTGGTGGAAACTTGAAAGTGGTAAGATTGACAGCGTTAAGTATGATTCCTATAACATCAACTTATCTGTGTGAGAGTCGCCCAGTGCTCCCTCTCTGGGTCAACAGAGCCATGCGATGCCATCTGCGTATCTGGGTGATTCACCTCGTTCTAAAGGAAATGGCTACATTTGGTCAGATAAGCAGTACTTGAAGCTCCAGCAAATGTACCACCAGCTCTCCTTTGGCTGCAGTGAAAATCTGGAGATCTAGCTTAGATGTTGTCAGTGATGCTGTGTTAGAAGTGATGATGAACCTCCCCACCAGCTCTCCCCTTACAGTAATCGGTCTTAGGCTGAACATCCTAGCTAGAGACCACAAGCTTTGTGTTACGGTTCAGAGTTGTTTTGCTCCATTTCCTCCACACGTGTTTAACGCAGTCCTTGGTACATTGTGAAGCAGCACGTCAAGCAAAGCTGTACGTCTCTCCCAGATCCTTACACCGACTGGAAGGATGCAGTAGAGTGACTGGGAGGGGTGAGGATGTGTCCTGAACTGATGCAGGCTGTGGAGAGATGGGAAGGAATACAAAAGGGCTGGAATCTTGGAGAAAGTTGGGAAAAGAGACTCTGCAATGGGCTAGAGCTACCGTAAGGGGAGATGTCCCAGTTGTCTAGGATACCCGAGGGACTGTGAGCATGCAAGACAGCTCTCCGCACCAAGCGGCACTGTGACGTGCACAGGAAGTATCACATCAGAATTTCAGTTGGTTTCTCAGGGCTGAACATCTGCGGTGCCGATCTGGCAGAGCAGCGAGCTGGCTCTCAAGGCCATTTTCAATTGACTTTGCTGCAGGAGGAGGGGCAGCACCTTTCCGACTTCCAGCTGACTTTATGTTACGGATAACAGAACAGTCAATTACAATGTGATTGACCCAAACCAATAAAGGCCTGTAAAGCTTAAAATGTTCCTTCTATGAAGAGGTCTTGACCAGGTAAAATCATAGTTTTGTGGCACTGCTTGTAGGCCAACTACTGTCATTATGTAGGCTACTGCACTACTCTACTGAATTTGTTTCATCTGCATGTCAGGAAAATCATGGTGGGTATCCTGTTCCCTTGCTAATTAGTCTGCAGTTGGCATGCTCTGCTGAATGAGAGATGTGGTTTGCAGTACCAGTTCTATGTTGTGCATCGACATGTCTTCCTCAGCATTTACTCATGTTGCTTCCCCACCACCCACCAGGAAGTCTCTGGTCACGGCATATACTTGCAACTATTTCCTCCAAGTATCAGCGTTCTAAAGCGAGAGATCTCTTGTGACCTCTGTATTTAGCGTCTTGAGCTAAACGTAAAAAAAAAAAAAAAATTTTTAAAAATATCATTGCCTTTTTGTATGATATATTTACTACACAGAGCTTTAAGGGACAGACGTTTCCGAGCACTGAGGAAGGAACTGCTTAACGTCATGGGGCAGCTCCCCACCATCACCGTCAGTTTGGG